AAATTTTGTATTAGGTATATATATATATATATATATAACTTATAATCTTTAACTTTGTAGTTTATTGTAACTTTTAAGTATATTAGAAAATTATGTTAGAATTTCACAAGATTTATATTTTGTTATGAAGTAATCTATTTAAAGTTTTATAAATTTAATCAGGAAGTATACAATTTGCGGTGATTCTATATATTCCAAACCCAAAAATATTTTAAAAGACCAGATTTTATATTTAAATTGTGTTGTTTTTTAAGATAAAATATAGACAATTGAAAAGTAGTGAAAACTACGGAACTAGTTCTGTAAATAATTTTGAATAACTGTGAAAGTTTAAAGAAAGAATAAAACAAGTTGTTATACGAAATATAACATTAACAGAAAGTGAAATTTAAATTGTCAAATTATTATTATTATATACATATAGGAATATTATATTTGTATTCTGTCAATACTAGCTGAAAAGCAGCAACGAGATTTCTGTGGCATTTCTGCCACAATGTCCATTTTACTTTTATTCTACTATATAACATAAGTTGTTTAAGTTAAAAGAACGTGCAATACAGGTTACACAGGCCTGCGAATTTAAACTTCATAAAAATTGTTTTGGTTTTAATAACGGATTTTCCATAATTCAACTACGCAAATTTCAAAAATAATATTCATTTTTTTTTCTGTCACGCAAGGAATTTGTATAAATCGAGAAGAAAACACTTTTACTTAGATCAAATTATTATTTCGTTTACCACAATGAACATTTTTTTATTATTATGTTGGTTAACAAAAGTACAAACAAACTGAAGAAAAGGGAAGAACATTGATGTCAATCGAATATGCATCATCATTCATCCTGATTATTTTTGTGAAATCTACGTCTTTCACTATCAAACTACGTATTGTGGTCTTTCTTTGATGTATTGCGTTATGACGTTTTGTGAAAAATCTGTACGTGATGAATTGAAATAGATATCATTTTCGGATTCAGCGTACAGGAATGACTGTAGAACATTTCAAGACAATAAAATAATCGCAGGCCTGTGTTATCAGTATTAGTAGCTTCTTCTTATGAATTCCGATATTTGGGGGGAGTGAATTGTTTATAACACTTTCTTGGTTTACGTCTAGAAATTCTGTTTATACTGATTGATGACAACAATAATCTTCTTTCAATGAGGTTAGTACTGTTAGCAAGAGGAATAAAATGTTTGCATTTGTTGTTAAACTAGCTAGAATAATTTATTACATGTGCATGACGGCGAGTGTTTTGTTTTCATCTGATTGTCATAAATCTTTAATACAAGGGTAAAGTTATCCCGAGGACCAATTGAAAAAATGTTGAAAAATTTAACCCAATAATAAAGGGCAGCCTATTTAGTTATAATGGTAACAAATTGGGATTTTGAAATAAAAGGTCAAACTAGAAAACAAATTGAGATAGGGCGAGGATCTTGGCACCTAGACCAATATTTTGAGGGTTAAGAATTGTTTGGTGTATATTTAAGATTGGTTAATGCTAAAGTTTAAAAAGTGTGTCTTTCTAGTTCCAAATATTGTCAAGTAATAAATAACAAAACTTTTGGAAACGTTTCACAATATGTATGTTTTAGAATGATTATTTTATATTAATAAGATAGGAATATAAGCTTGTATTATGGTAAATTAATTTGTCATAACTATGTATAGTTTATTTCAAAAACGTACCAAACTAACAGTTATTTAATTATTTATATTCATTCCGTGTATCATTGTGGATTATGAATGACTTCGTTAAGGTGTCTAAATTATACCCTCCAATATGTTTTATCAATTAATTTATTTAAACAAAGTATGTTTCTATGTTTATCAATTTAACAATTACCTTATTAAGAACATTAACCTTTTGTTCGAAATTTATTAAAGATGCCAATATTACTTTTTAGCGTTGAAAAAGCAGAAAGTTAAGTAATAAAACCTCCTTTCAAGTTGCAAAGAGAAATTTTAAGTAAATAAATGCTATTTTAATAAACAATGCTACCAAAAATCTAAAAACTATTTTACGTATGTGCATCTGTCACACATTGATTCAAATAAGCATATCCATATACCATTTAGTTAACAGAAGGCTTACAGCAAGAACAGCAATATCTGAAAATTACTGGGAATGATGATGAAGTAGACATCTTCTAATGTATTTTTTATCAGGCGTCCAGCCCAATGTAAGAAGAAACAGTTTCTCCAACAAGTACAGAGCTGGACCGAAGATGCTGAGACTTTAACGAGAATAATCCAATATGGCGCTCGGGTGGCTTTTGAGGAAGGCTTAATTAATCAAGTGAATCGACAGAAGCAGAGACGGTATTTTATGTCAGGTGTGTATAGTCACCTGATGAAAACCGTCGTTTATTTAAATCAGCTGTGACTTTCTCTAAATGTAACCTAACTATTTGGAATAGAAATCACATCTCTATGCCTTTTAACAAACTCAAAAGTCCTTTTTTTTAAGCTCGATAGGGCAGGCCCATCATCGAAATAACCTTTTTATATCATGTATGTGTGTCTACGTTTAACCCAATTATTACACAGAGACGTTCCCGACTGTAATAGGTTATTTTGAATAAGAGTACATGTCCTGCCTTGAATTTTAATCTAATATACCACATAGATTTACCGCTCATCCAATTGCCAATTTATATCAGGTCTACACTTTCGTCATTAAACCCAAAATCCATTTATCTCAAACCTACGAGTTTCTTAAAGTTAAACTTAATTACGTCGTCAAACTTCAAGCACACTAGCAGTGTTCTACGTGATATTAAAGAAAATAGATCTTCCACAAAATTAAATAAAGTTTAAATGGTATGATCGTGTTTGATAACTTTTTCTTTCCCTAAATAAATAAAAAAGCTATTTCTTTAAATCTCACATTTTTGACCTTTAACTTTTAATAACCCGATTATTGGAGCTTCGCTTTACGATGGTGTACATAATAAAATCTGAAAAGCAAATATAAAGCCTTAATCTTTTCACGAAGAAGTACAAACGTCAAACTGGTAACAAAGTAACAAAACGGGCAATTACTAGTGTGTTAAACATTTAGCTCAGTTGGTAGAGTATTCGCTTTGGGTGTGACTGGTTTGGGGTTCGCTGGTGAATTAAAGGCAAAAAAGGACTGCCATAGCAGTATAGAGCAAATGTTTTGATAATATAGTAAATGTATCTAATCACTAATTTTACTGAAATTAATTTGGCTATTAATTTTCAAATAACTGATGAATATCAAAAAAATGCTACTACTAAAGGTTATTTTAGCTTTTTAAAACGTAAATTCTAGTTTAAGCACATATTTATTTTGAATGTTTGTTTGTAATTAAGCACAAAACTACACAATGGGCTATCTGTGCTCTGCCCACCACAGGTATCGAAACCCGGATACTAGTGTTGTAAGTCCGCAGATATACCGCTGTGCCACTGGGGGGGGCGTTTATTTTGAAATACTTATATAACCCAAAAATCTAGATAAAACTCCTGTGAAATATTAATGTATTATCAGATCTACGGAAACTGTCATTAAACAAATTGTACTTCTTTTAAATTACATTAATTTTTTTCGTATAATAAAACATATTTGACACAGTTTCATCCAGGCAGAGTTAATTCAAACGTATGATATCACTAATTCACACATATGAATTCCCTTGAGTGATCTTTTGCCTTTTAACGAATGAAATTTTGAGTTAGGTACGCGTTTATCTAATAATATTATTTGCCAGGTCAAAAACTATCAACGATTCAAACTCTTATATTTATAACGATTTCATTATTCTAAGTACGAAGTATTTAATTTCAGTAGTGCATATTGGTGTATAGAAGACATTAATACTAGAAATAAACAACCTTATGACACCAAAATGTTGTTTTTATTTAATTAGACACTCAACATTTTCGCGTTACAGCTTCTTCAGGAGCGTTCACTAAAACAAAAAACGAAACTGATAGTACAAAACTTCAAGGGCCGGCATGGCCAGGTGGTTAGGGCGCGCGATTCGCAATCTGAGGGTCGCGGTTCGATTCCCCATCACACCAAACATGCTCGCCCTTTCAGCCGTGGGAGCGTTATAATGTGATGGTCAATCCCACTATTCGTTGGTAAAAGAGTAGCCCAAGAGTTGGCGGTGGGTGGTGATGACTAGCTGCCTTCCCTCTAGTCTTACACTGTTAAATTAGGGATGGCTAGCGCAGATAGCCCTCGTGTAGCTTTGCGCGAAATTCAAAACAAAGCTTCGAGTGGTTTAAATTTTGACTGTCTAATTAAATAAAAACAACATCTTGGTGTAAAAAAGGTCGTTTATTTCTAGTATCAAGTACGAAGTAGTTATTGGTTGATTCATGAAGCCAAATTATTTTGTATGTGTTGCTAACTTGTATCTTTATTTTCATCAAAATAAAGTTTTGATAAAGACTTCTATCATCTGTTTAACTTACATCACCTTGTAGGTATATTGATCGTTTCTGTTGTTTAGTATCAACATTACCCTGCAACTGATATCCTCGTAACTTACGTATCAAACATACGTCTATTTGCATCACCAAAGTTCATTATTTTGATTTCGGTGTTCAAATATAAATCGTTCAGTTGCTGACATACGTTTTGACTACAAAAAAAATATTTTTATGTTTTTAGTCTTCACTTTCTTTTTGTTATTATCCTTTCCTTTTGAAACACAAAGTTGCTGAACGATAACTAAGTTGCTGTAACATGCGTAATAACCTAATATGCGCAATAAACGTAACACGAGACTGTATATTTGCTTTCTTTCCACATTCCTTAAATCAGAAGTGTGTAAAAATTAACATTTCAGCTCTATCTTTTGTTTACCATTAGTCACCGCTCCAGAGGCGCATCTTTCAATACGAAAACTCATGAGTTGGACTGGATTATGATAGACAAAAACTTTATTTTATAAGCTATTTATATATTCAGTACAAGAACTTTTAAATTTGAGATTTTGAATACCGAAAGAAGGAGAACCATTAAAATTAGTAGAACTAACACGATAAAAATTACCTAAAAATGCAGTCGGTTTTGTTTACAGATTTCATTTGATTTATTCATCATAGCTTTAAAATAAAGCATTTCGTCAGATTTCTATAGAAATACAAAATTATTCCCTTGTTAAGCTGTTTTGCTTCTTTAAAACAAGTTCAAAGTTTTAGTTACTTCATGAATGAAAAGTACTGCCACACACTTTGTACTTCTAAACATAAACAGCGACTTTACATGTGCTATAACCATCCTAGTTATTTACTGCACACAGTATTGTCGTCACTTCCCGCAAATTTTCTTGACTGAGACTAAAGACAATGACTTCATTTTTCAACCGTATTAATATTTTCTTTTTTATCAGTACGAGTTCTTTGATCTTTTTATAATTTATAATTACATGCACGAACCTCCTTTCTGAGCTTAATTGACAGTACCACTTGATAGTGTTGACATCTTCGTCCGGGTAATTATTTTCTCAGATTTCTGGCTCGACTGAGATAACTCGGAAATTCATCTTTTAATCTGTTTGGATGATTATCAATATCTCTGAGTTCACCACTTCAATTACTTTAACAATAACAACTAATCTTCCAGTTATTTAAAGGTTACGACCTATGAATTCATTGTCAGAAATCGTTTAATAGTAAACACTGGTGATAATATTCTTGCTATTGCCAAATCCCTTCTGTGTCTTTTGCAATCCACTGTTTTCAGTCCTCAGATGACAGCTCTGGATTTATTTCTTGTTGTAGCCATAGAGTTCATGCCAGCCCATCTCTAGCATCCTTTCACGTTACTTGATTGGAGATGTGCTGGTTTGAAAAATGGCTGAGTTGAGGCTGTCGTTACTTGTTTTCCCTAGCTACCTTCATCCCAGGATTACACCGAATAACAGTATTTATATATATATTCATTTTCTGGCTTCACTTAGCTAAAACAGGCAACTCCTCCCCCGGCATGCAAATTGAAATGGATTTTCCACTTTCGTCTATAGAACATTGTCTCTCCCAACAGAAACATAATTCTGGATCAAACATGCTGTCATTCTTCTAGCAGCTATGGGATATCTTTTAATCAGCAAAATACTTTTGTTAGCTGTCCCTCTTCGTAAGAGGACTCTGCTATACCATACCTGTGACTCCTACTCTGCTGCAAATGCCGCTGATATCTATATTTCTGCCAAAGGGTTAAAGTTAATAATTTAAATTGCTTTTAAGTCCCTAAGACCTATTTGGTGCTTCATGGGTTCATTCAGTAAATCTTCAATAAATTTATTAATCCAGATTCCTTCTTGATTCATCTTAACCATTCCTGAGTATGTTTCTTCATGCAGAAGCTACAGATCATGTACATAGGCAGTCACAGCCTTTGAGACATAATCTTATATGCCTTGAATTTGGCCCAATAAATAGCTTCGTTTTTTGCCTGTTCAAATCACCTCAATTTTCTGCTACCGATGACTCCTCTTTTTCAACTGTCTTTCACAAAATGCTCATCTGTATCCTGGACAGGATAGTCTAAGCTGAGCAGGATATTCCATACTACCACTTGCAACAACATGATGTGATATAGGACCTTTTGATAAATCTATAGAGTTCCAACATACAAATGCCTTTTCTGAGGTATAGCCATGGTTCCTGAACAACTGAGACAAAACAGCAATTAGACCACTACACATATTATATATAGTATAAAAAAACCAAGAATTTGCGTTTAATCACAGATGCCTGATTTTCGTAACAATGAACTAATGTAGTGGGGGAATCGCATTATTTCATAAAAGTGCGATAACAAGAATACCACAAATTACGGTTATTCTAATTATTTTGTGTAGCGTAGTTCGTTGTTGTGAAATATTTTCCACTCAACTTCCTAAATACACTCAGATTTTTAAATTCTCCTATTTGATCTATTTGAAAGGCAAGTTTAATCTTAACGTACTGAATAAATGAGTCTTAAAACCTTATCTGCATATTTACTGAAAGCAAACAATAGTGCTAGTTGATACGGTTCAAAACGTCAAATGCCGGCGAAGCAATGACAACAATAGGAAGCTGTATGTTTTTTGTTGTTGTTGGTTTTTTTAGAGATTCGTTTTAATTAGTTCATTCGGATTTTAAATCAGAGAGGGTCTAAGAGGGTTGTAAAAAATCGTTTGAAGTTTAGCTTAATTTTTATTAGTATTATTATTAGGCCTAATAATACTAGTTCTATATGGCTAACTTAATTTGCTGTGACTTAAATGAAATATAGAATTTAAAGCAAATAGCATATTTTATATGTTTATTAATTAACCTATACAGAATTTGTGTGATTTTTTTGTTAATAAAATGATTTTCTTCAGGAGTACATGCACATTTCGATGAGGCGTTACAACTCTCAAAGGCAGCTAGTCAGCGAATGTTATGTGTTATCAGGCAGTTCGAAGGTAAGAATTTTATATAAATTTTTAACTGCTTTATAAAAATAACACAGAATAACTCATAGACCATACCTTATTTCAAGAATTACTTATATTTAGAATTAATACAACTGTGATAAATGAGCTTCTTAAGTTCAGAAATGAATTATAATATTTTCTAACATTGATAGAATCCTTATATAGATTTGTGCAATAGTGTATTAGTTACTGAAGAAATAGTTTGGTTTAATCAAAGTTCAGAAATCTTAATTTATGTTTTCAACACAGAAATAATTCTTCTTACTTTTTTTCAGAAATGATTTAACTAACCAACAGTGTTGTTAATTAAAGAAATGGTTTGGTTAAAACAAAGTTCAGAAATCTTAATTTATGTTTTCAACGCAGAAATATTCCTTCTTACTTTTTTTTCAGAAATGATTTAACTAACAAATCCACAATATGCCAACATTTCTAAAACAGCACTTATTTTTAATTTATTTCGGTAATAATTTTTCTGCTAATTTCGCCAAAAATGTTGGAAATACTTTTACTTCAACCTTTTTTTTTATTTTACGCATTTCTTTCTCTAAGTGCGATTCGGCACAGTTTAAGCAAGCAATAAACATGACAAAGGTCAAGAAATTAAGTGCCATAGTATGACTAGGACTTAGAATTTTAAATTATTTCGCAGTTTTAATCCATCGCTTATGTAAATTAAGGTCCAATCTTCAGGAATTCAAGCTATAATTTTAAACATAACCTTCTTAATCAGCATTATAGCTTCTTTAATTTTGGACATACGACATGAGAGTCTGCACGAAGCAATCGTTTTTGGTTTTGTTTTGCTTGTTTTATGCATTATTGTTTGTGTGTAAAATTGTTGAATAATTTATCACGTAACTGGTTGTGGGTTAGAGGGATTTCTTATGCTATTTTGATCCTAAACCGAAAACTTATTTTCAACAGAACATCAAGCAATAGATCCGTACAAAATATTTCCAGATAAAATATTCAAGCAACATCACTTAAACTTTACTAAGTACTTTTCTAGTTTGACTCTTTTAGTCTTACTCCAAGTTTTTGATCAATCCTTATTGTACATTCTAGTGTTTATTTTTTGTCTATTTATGGGTTCGATAATATATTAAATAACCAAATACAATATGTTCTAAGTAAATAACTTTGCTCTTATGAAAACGCGATGTTTGTAGATTATTTATCTGTTTAGTTTCGTAATAAGGTTTGTTGTTATCTAATCCACTGAAACTCACCGACAATATGACAATAAATATTTTGACAGCTAATTTTATTTGTTTGTTGTTAAAAACAAAACCGAAGAATGGAATATCTGTGTTGTGTCTTCGCTTGGGTAGAACCCCAAATTTTAGTGTTATAGCACTCAAGCTTGACGGATGAAAGATCTGATTTGTAGAGCCTTTAGGTATCATTCGACAAATGTATCACTATGTTAAACATTGTACAGATTAACAACCCTATTTGTGTGTGTGTGTTTTGCCTGATATGATCGCCATTTTAAACACAGTAGTTTGTGTTGTCAATTGGCGATATTAATCATGCAAGGTTATATTATTTCCATACATTATTTTGGACTAATACGGTTTTTCAAGTGTGGCAGTTGGAGTTTTAAGACAGGTAGATAATGTACGAGTATGGTAGGATCTATCTGATAACTAGAAATTAAAAATTAAGAATCCGTTCTTACATTTCACATTTTAAATGTTTCTATCATTATATTACGATGCTTAGTCAGACTAGTGGTTAGCGTGTCGGGCTAATGACTGAGGATCTTGGGGTTGGAGGCGAAATGCCGCTGAACAAGCTCAGCAGTTTTACGTGTGGGCACGAAACAAAAGAGGCAAGTAATCCAGTTATTCGTTTTAAAGAGCTGGACAAAGTCCTTGTGATGGCTGGTGCTTCAGTATGTCTGTCATCCCTCTGGTCAGAAGTTATAAATTAAGAAAACTAACCTGAACCTTATGGTTCTCTAACTTGGTCGCTTAGTTCACGTGCCCATAAGTGACATTCAAGTTGTTTGTTTGTAATTGTTTGTTTATTTGTACTTAAGCACAAAGCTACACAATGGGCTATCTGTGCTCTGCCCACTACGGGTATCGAAACCCGGTTTCTAGCGGTGTAAGTCCACAGACATGTCGCTGTGCCACTGGGGGGGGGGGCATTCAAGTTGAAAACTTCAACTTTCAGATCACTGAACAAAACTTATTTATAACGTTCCGAATGTTTGGTAGTAGTTGTAAAATCAACAGAAACAAACAGTCATTTAAATGGTCGCATAAAAATGTTTTCTAAACGTAAAATGAAGCCCTCAGGCTTAAGAATCTAACGGAACTCAAACTGTATTATCAGAGCTACTACTGATTTTTTTTTTTTTAGATTGAAGTTCTCTGTACCGTATTTTTAGTTCGGTGTTTAACGATGCATGAATTCGGAATTTCAAATAGAATATAACAGACCTCGCTCGAGCAAAATTACATCCATTCCGTAGCCCTGGGATACAAATAAAAGAAATGAAGTTGATCAATGCTACTCAGTAATGTTGTATCAGATATACTTAAAAAGTTTAAATACAGCGAAATAAAAGCAAAAGAGTTCTATTTGGTTATAAAAAGAAAGAAATTATGCCGCTTCAACAGGAGATTTAAGACTGGTTGTCAGATGTAAAATACGATTTAGTTTCTAAAGATTTATCGATTTCAGAGTTAAACCTAACAATGGAATTTCTATTGCTCAGCAACATATATGCATTATTTAGATCCACTATTATTATTATGTAAACCTATAAACTGTTATTTCTTAACTTGACCAGGCGTAGTTCTGCTGGTTAGCATGGCGAATTATTAACTTGAGGGTCCATGGCTCGCGTCCCGTTGCCGCAAAAAACGTGCTGCGTACTTTGGAGCAGTTGGTATGTTGTAAGAGTGAATGTCAAATCCAATTACTAAATTATAGTATCCCAAGTGTTAGTGCTGGGTGGTTTTGACTACCTGCCTTCCACCTAGTCTATCACTTCAAAATTAGGGATGGTTAGAGCATATAGGCCTCGTGCGAACTTCTCGAAACGAAATAAACACATTTCTCTACTTTCGTAAAGTAAATTAAGCACTAGAAGGTTAGGTAGACAAATAAAAAATAATAGAATAAACATCTGACGGATATTATTAATAGTCCACAATCATCACCCTGTTATATAAAGCACAATCTGAATGTAAATACTATCATGTGTATTATAAAACGTGATCATATAGTGAATATTGCTTTACGAAAATCACATTTTTCAATGAATATTACATAAAAACATATAACTGAATGGTGAAAATAATGTATAATTTGGTAGATAAATGAATTTCAGCAAGCACTTCTGCAACAGTAAATAACAAATATGATAATGAACAGGCATTGAATAACTTGTTATTGTATTTATTCAATTTATTCTTAGGCCTACACATACAGACTTGTAGACTTCATCAAGAACATTCATCTAATATCAATATTATGCATTTGGTATTCACTAAAGTTATGTTGTTGTTTTTTAGGCCTAAATACTTCCGATACTAATGCTTCATCCTATGCTGACATCGCATCGCAAGAAGGTGCCACTTATGAGGAAGAAAGCATTAGTGGAATCCAGGAGTTAATTGACAGTATAATCCTCTCCCTAGAAAGAAAAAATGTTCATTACTTCAGGTACTACTAAAGATGTCACATTTTACTTACTTGTCTTCCAGTTAACATACTCATTACACCCAAAAGTATCTCTACCGTCTAACTCTCAAGAGGCTCTTACTTTACAAGTACATTTTAACGTATCTCGTGAATTGTAAACTATTATCAAGTCATACGCAATCCCATTTCATTTAAGCATTAAACACACGTTATTCCCTATATTTGTATATTACCCATGAGTGTCTTAAAGTCTAGATTCCCCGAGACTTTCTTATATTTTACGTTGAGAAATACATTCAGACCCAAGATTATTGTTTTTCCCCAAATATAAGACTATTTGTTTGGACTTTCTGTTCCTTTCTGTCAGCATTCCATGGCTAGAATCTGGTGTAGATCCTGACTTTCTGTTCCTTTCTGTCAGCATTCCATGGCTAGAATCTGGTGTAGATCCTGACTTTCTGTTCTTTTCTGTCAGCATTCCATGGCTAGAATCTGGTGTAGATCCTGACAATTCGGAACATGGAAATTATCTCGACAAGTTCGGAGACGTGATTTTGTCAACTCTAAAAGAAATGATCAGCGATGCCACTGTTTCCTCGCCTGAGTGGGAGGGTCTTCCTTCAACCGTGAAAAAGGCGGTTCAGGTATGGTGTTTAGATAGAGAGATCCATTTGCTAAGATGAAACTTTGTATAAAATCGTTCGTAATTTGTGCGTTTGTGCTCTCATCAGCACTCAGTAGTCCTCTAATCCGAAATTAGAATATTTAATAACCATTAACTTAAGTGGAATATGAATTTTGAAAGTAACCTTAAGTTTCAAACTATGCTTTCAATCTCTAGAAAAGCTTAAACGTCAAATTTATTATAAACATAACGACGACAAAACTATGAACATTCGAATTTCTTTTCTCAGTTGTCAAAAAATACAAACTGACGAAAAAGAAGGTTAATGTATATATATATATAATTCAGTTCATATTATATCATACAAGACACTGTAATTTTAAACATCAACAAACGCAAAATACCAAGCTATCTTAATTGAATAAAACAGCCTTACCTTAAACCCACACCCCGTTGAACCAAAATACCTTTACTAAACTGTTAAGCAATCTCCAGTCGTGTGACTTCTTTGTTATATACTGTATGTATATTCATGTTTCTCTGTAAGCGACTTGTACCTGATGCTGACATAATCTTGTCGAAACGTTGCACATTTATAATAAAGTTTTCTTCGCTTCCCATTCAAACCGTCTTCAAACTTTTATTTTCTGAAAAGCGGGTTCCTAGTCATCAAATTTATATCTTATCATTGATATAATAATTCTTCTTTCTAGCTTACCGATTAAGTTCGGCTATTTCGAAAAACAAGTCTTACTATATTCTTTAAGGCTTCGTGAAGTTTCATGTAGGTGAATGTTTTAATTCACAACGGAAGTTGAAAGACTGTATTAATGATTTCAGTATCGTTTACAACAGAAGTTGAAAGACTGTATTAATGATTTCAGTATCGTTTACAACGGAAGTTGAAAGACTGTATTAATGAGTTTGGTATCGTTTACAACGGAAGTTGGAAGACTGTATTAATGAGTTTGGTATCGTTTAAAGCGTTCCCACTGGCTCAACGATATGTCTGAAGTCTTAAAAACCAAGGTTCGATACCCATGGTGGGCACAGCACAGATAACCTACTATGTAACTATGCGCTTAACGGCAACATATAAGCAAATCATTTGGACCTTTTGTTTGTTTCAAGAATATTTTACTTGCTAATCATCAACGAATTATACTTCTGAAGTGGGAATAAATTGTAAGAAAGAAAACGAACTTGTAAAAAAAGTAATAATATTATAAATAAATCAAATAAGTCCACATATGTCTATTAAGTTATTTCAATATTTTGTATGTCTCAGTTTGATAAACAACAAGTCTTTTACTTCGTGTCCAGAATCTCTGAAGCAATGTTACTCCAAACTTATAATTGTGGCATATGTTTTCAACTTACACCAGGAAACATATGCGTTTATCAGTATAGTTTCAGTAACGTTAGATTAGTGAATTATATTGTATTGGTATTTACAACCTAGTTGAGGGGGACCTTATGCAACACATGGGCTAAGCGGCCAAGTCAGAAACCCTGAGGTTCGAACATGGTTGCCCTTAATTTAGAGCTTCTACTCTGAGGGAGGAAAGCCAGTCAGCAGCACTCGCCGTCAACAAATGTATTCTTAATCGAATAGCGGAATTGGCTGTCACGGTTAAGACGCCCCCACAGCTGACAGAATGTGAATCGTGCTCAGCAGTATATCCAAGTTCAAACTTTAATGTTTTCGATCCACAGATCGATACGCTATCCATTAAGCCACGCCCTTTGTTAAATTCAAAAACAAAAACATACAGATATAGTATTACGTAATAATGAAACAAACTGTAAATTATTGTGGAAAAATAAGGGAAGGGTGATAAAAGCAAACACACACACATATATATATATATATATGTATATCGTACAAAGCATAACAGTTAAATGTTTCTTTGTTTGAAGTTAAGCACAAAACTACACAATAAGGTGTCTGTGCTCTGCCCACCACGGGTATCGAAACCCGGTTTCTAGCGATGTAATCCCGCATACATGTCGCTTTGCCACTAGAGAGCAAAATTGAATGCAACGAGTACAATGCGTTAAAAAGCAAATGCAGCATTATCAATAAACCTAGTCACATATTAAAATGTTTAATATGAGCAATACAGAGAAAAAATTTAATTTAAAATGAGTGAAAGGTAGTAAATGAGGATCCTGTAAGCTGCCAAATATTTAGAAAAGAAAAAAAAACGTCTTTTTTAAAATAATAATTCCCTGCGCTTCAAGGAACTGGATCTTTTAACTTCTCCCGACCAACCAGCTAGGAATAGATCCAATTTCTATTTGAGTACAGGCTTTATAATTTGAAAAGGACAGTTTCCAGCTTATTTTATCACCTTTGAGGACTTTCATTTTCTCAATTTCACTGTTCCCTCCCATTGAATCTTTGTGACACTTGTTTAATGATATTGGTCCTTGAAGCTACGTGTTATTACATTTTCAGAGTAAACATTTTGTTACCTTAGCTTTTGCACGACGAATAAAAGCTTTTTTTTTTAATTTATCAAATAGGTATGTATATTTTTGTGAAATCATATTTTTCTCAAATAACTTTAGAGTATGTATAAATAGCTTTGAAAAGACTGAAATATAAATGAATTCAAATGAAAAAAAGTAAAGAAAACTCATCAAACGGTATATATATATCTTTCTGAATATGCAACTGTGCAGTTTATATACAAACATCTTTTATTTATTTTATTCTCTAATTACCAAACCCGTTTTTGCACGGTAGTAATACCATTAAAAATCCATTATCTCAAAAACGTGCTCAGTTTTAATATTTGACTCCAACAATTATTACACTCTCTACCTTTATTTCTTTAGTGTGTATGTGTTATTGGTTGTTTATTTTGTTTTTGAGTTTATCTAACAACATTTTGTTTGAGCAGTGAATAGCGAGCGCTACATATGACACAACATCGCACTAAGATGCTTATATTTTCAATTAAGATACATAAATACATACTTTTAGCATCAAGTGAGCATCAATACCTTTTCAACAGTTTTGTTGTTGTTGTAGGTTTCTTCCTTTCGCTCAATACCAGAACTTTATAAATTTTGTATAGTCATCCTGAAGTAACTTTGAAATACCCCATATATATAAAGAACTATCAGTTACTTAATCAACCGAAAGACTCGTGAATAATTATATCTAATTTCGAACTATTTATTGTGCTGAAGGCTCAAGAACCTTTCTGCTATAATTTACAAATAACACATAAGTTTTAAGCCATCTAATATGACTTGTCTGTAAACACATGCTATTAATAGTGAATATTTCTGTTTACAAAATAAATGAAAACTATCAATTGTACAAATGATTAGTGAAAACAAGTCACACAGAAAATCTTTATATAAGCTTATACAACATTATTTATGAAAAATAATATTAATAATTCGTTATATGTGTGAATTTTAGGTTCAAGAATACAAGATACATTTTTTTTAAATAATTTATTTCTGTATTTAAGTTACTAACTACGGAAGGGGAGGAGGGCAGGCTTGATCAATGTCTTCGGTATAGTAATTTTAATGAAACATTTTGCAGTTGTATATGTCTGTGTTGCAACATTCAGTTGTTTTTTGTGCTTCTTTTGTCTTTTTTTTTTTACTTCGTAACATAAGGAGTTTTTACATATCAAACTAATTCTATAGTTCTTTAAATATAAAGGACATTTCCATGGTGGCAAAAGATGAGATTGAAACCTAAGATAATCTCAAGATAAATTGCTTATCCCAAGTTGATAAAACATTATAAAATAACGCCTAAAGATTAATGCTCTTAACGATTACAGAGTTGTGGAAAATGAGGAAAACTTTAACTGAGAATGTTTTACTTGTTTCTTCTGTGACCTCTAGGAAGTGGTGTTGGAGTCTCATGCTCACCTTGTCAACGCCTATCACAACCTACACGCTCTAGGCGTCTCTCAATCGTTAGCCAGCGATTGTGGACCATTACTCCATATTCAACAACTCATGTTAGAGGATGAGAATCGCATGCGACACTCTCCTGTTATTGTATGTGGTCGTAACGGTTCGGGAAAGTCAACTCTGCTCTCTCAGGTGTGTCACACAAAGCTTATAACTCAGTGTTTTATGAAAACAAGAAACTTAGGTTATTAGATAAGGTTACTTCTTTTGAATGATGAGAGTATCGTAACATAAATATATGTGCTTGTGAACCTGCCTCCTTTTTCTTAATTTGTTTCTCACCTTCCTTAAAGTATTGCTGTTAGTCGAATCCTATTCTGAAAGGTGTAACTCGTGGTTTCGAAAATTTTCAGTTACATTAAGGTCAAACCAGCAGTTGGGAGTATTCAACCTTATATTTATTTTTACATGTTCTACAGTAATTCCTGTGCACTGAACCCGAAAATGATGCCCATTTTTCTTCATCACGTACAGATTTTTCACAAAACGTCAGAGCACAATACATAAAAAAGACCACTACGCGTAATTCTGAGACTAAAAGACGTAGATTTCAAAAACAAAAAAAATCAGGATGAATGAGGATGCATAATCGTTTGACTTCAATGTTCTTCTCTTTTCTTCAGTTTGTTTGTATTTTTATTAACAAACATTATAATAATAAAATCTTCATTGTAGTAAACGAAATAATGATTTGATCTAAGTAAGAGTCTTAGTCTTACGTGATAGTTTGTTTGTTTATTTAGAAGTACGCACAAAGCTACACAATGGGCTGTCTGTGCTCTGCCCACCACGGGTATCGAAACCCGGTTTCTAGCGTTCTAAGTCCGCAGACATGCCGCTGTGCCATTGGGGGGGGGGGGGCTCTTACGTGATAGAAGAAAATGAATATTATTTTCGAAATCTGCGTGGCTGAATTACTGAAATCAGTTATTAAGACTAACACAACTTTTATGGAGTTTAAATTCGCAGGCCTGTGTTACGGTCGACCGGAGGATGTAGACCTCGCAAAGCACCTTTTACAAGTGCTTATGATATTTTGCATCTTCGAGTGCAATAAAAGCCCAAAAATTAAAGATTTCAAATATTACTTTAACATTAACATTATTTATTGGAAAATTTAAAGGATTATTGGGTTCCTAACTTTGCTTCTTCTGTTGGATGGTTGTTATTTGATGTTTAGAGCTTTTCATAAAAGCAATAAGAAAAAACTTGGAAAATAGGCAGATTTTTGTTACAAAAGTTTCCATGAACAGTTAAGAAATTTTTAAGAATTTACTGCTAACAATGACAGTGTATGATATGACTTTGTGAGTTCGTTGGCCAGGTAGTTAGGGCGCTCGAATCCCCGTCCCACCAAACATGCTTGCCCTTTCAGCCGTGGGGGCGTTATAATGTAGCGATCAATCCCACTATTCGTTGGTAAGAGAGTATCCCGAGAGTTGGCAGTGGGTAGTGATGATTAGCTGTCTTTCCTCTAGTCTTACACTGCTAAATTAGGGACGGCTAGCGCAGATAGCCCTCGTGTAGCTTTGCGCGAAATTCAAAACAAACAAACAAACTTTGTGAGTTCGTTGTGTTGCCAATATAATACAATATTTTTCTCGGTTGAAAATACAGGCGGTTAACAGCTTGTGACTTATTTCTTTGCTTGTTCCGTGTTTAATTACAAGTCCTGAATTATTTGTTGCCAATATAATACAATATTTTTCTCGGTTGAAAATACAGGCGGTTAACAGCTTGTGACTTATTTCTCTGCTTGTTCCGTGTTTAATTACATGTCCTGAATTATTTGTTGCCAATATAATATAATAATTTGTTTGAGTTGCATGTGTTTCTAATCTAGCAGCTTCTTCTTAGTTTGAGATACAGACTCTGAACTAGTTATTAGCAATCTAATGAGGCAGGTTTCTTTAGCCTCATACGCAAACGCTTAATCTTTCGGTTACTAACCGGACAGCCTTTTATATTAGCTTAAAATACAGACTGAACTATTTATTTTCAATCTAATTCATGGCGGATTGTTTTCTCCTGCTCATCAATATATCTTTACCAGTGTACTATTAAGAAAACGTTTGCCTTAGCAACTTTAAAATTTAAATATATTATGCACATGAATCTTATCTTTGTTTGAAAAATACAAACTTAGTTTTACAGCATCCATTTAGAATAAACTATGTGATCCTTCTTTTTCATCAGATCGGAATTTGTGTTTAACGTAGAGACTGAACTATCAACATCATGCTCCTTATCTGTGGCGATAATTAACGCTTTACTAAACAACATTGATATATATATATATATATATATACGTCGTTAAGTCAAAAATCATAGTGTTATTAGGAACAATTAACATTTTATTAGACAACATAATATATAGCTATGTTTACAAGTAAAAACATAGGATTATTAGGAAAAATTAACGCTTCGTTAAACAACGTGTTATGTATGTACGTGTTCAACTCAAAAACATTAGCGCTCCTAGGAACATTTTAACGCTTTATTAAACAACGCGTGGTACTAGAAAACAGACTCATGCTTTAAATTATATTTTAGAGCTGGCTTTTTTAATTTGTGTGAGATCCTTCACTGATTCAGGCTTACAAGTATGAAATGGTTCTTCACATGATAATTACTGAGTATATTTTTGCTACTCATGATTAATGGGTAATTTGAGCTGTGGAACAGGAAAAAGTGTTTAGTTGTGTAAGTCCGATAACTGTGACATAGCGCTTATGAGAAACTCCTAGTATTATCATAATAATGTGTTTTTCACAGACATCCAATGTCAGGAGTGTTTAGTTATAAAGGTGCACGTGGAATCCACTGATTTGATTACTAGAAGAGAACTTTATTTTCCTTGTATAATATTTAAAATCAGACTAGGATATGTTAAAGTGTTTTACAAGGTTGATTTTAATGTAGAGACGGACTAGGATATGTTAAAGACCTTGTAAAACATGTCTCTACATTAAAATCAGCTTAACATATCCTAGTCACCTTGTAAAACACGTCTCTACATTAAAATCACTTTAACATATCCTAGTCACCTTGTAAAACACGTCGCTACATTTCTACTACCTTAATCCGCAAATGTATTTAAGATTCCAAAATATTTGCCTTGAGATGAATTGCAGGGTTTGGAAATATTTGCTTTATTACCTAGAAACCTCATATTTCAGTTATACCAATTTACATTGCAATAATTCAACCAAAGAGACAAATGATTAATTTTTTTGTTTTAAAAATAATTGTGTCATTTAAGAGATTAAACGTTCGAATATTACGAATTCCAAGACCTAGCTGGGAATAACAATACACAGATAAGGAGTGTGGCCTAGTGGTTAGCATTTTTGATGTATTAGTACGAGGGTTCATGGTTCGCAGCCAGTTGCTGCACAAACGTTTATGCATTTTGGGACCGTGAATCTACTATAAAATGGATGGCCAAATTTCCCTAAATGGATCAGACAAGAGTTGTCTCAGTATTAGTAGTGGGTGCTGTTAAGCATCTGCCTTCCTCGTGGTCTGTCAATTAGAAATTAGGAACAGCTATGTGTTGATAGCTCTTTATGTAACTTTCTGCAAACATTCTGAAACGAACATATTATAAAAACGTGCATAGCTTCATAATATTTTTTTCACATTAGCGAGTATCCATAGAATAATATAGATATCATCAGTAGTCAAATACTTTCATTACCAGGTGGTTAGGGCGCTTGGCTCTCAATCTGAGAGTCGCGGGTTCGAATCCCTGTCCCACCAAACATGCTTTCTCTTTCAGCCGTGGGGGCGTTATAATGTTACGGTCAATCCCACTATTCGTTGGTAAAAGAGTAGCCCAAGAGTTGGCGATGGGTGGTGATGACTAGCTGCTTTCCCCCTAGTCTTTCACTGCTAAATTAGGGACGGCTAGCGAAGATAGCCCTGGTGTAGCTTTGTGCGAAATTTAAACCATTATCAATCACTTCTTTTAATGAAAAATTAAATAATATCTAAAGCTTTTTCCTTGATGTCTTGTGATCCAAGTCCAGAATTTAGCTTATTTAAACAGTTTTTAGCATAGGCTAAACACTTGGTTTATTGATTGTCAATTACTAGTTCTTTGACCGAAGTCTTCAAAATATATCACGTAAAAGCTTAATTTCAGTAACTACGAAACGTTTGGTTTAATTATTGCCTTGATTGAAATCCTCCAAACATATAATGTAAACGCTCAACGCTTTTAATAAATACGTTAAGAATAAGATGGCACAAATCCTCGAATCAAATCTGTACTTCGCATCTCTTCTTCAAAATTGTGTCTAGTTCAGCGTTTAATGAGTTTATTAAGTCACTACAAAGCCGTGAACTTAAAGATTGCTTTTTCACAACAGATATCTGATGAAAACTTGAACTGTTTTCCCGCCGTTACCAAATTGTACACGTACGTTCTATTATAAGAATTTCGAAAACAGCATGTCTGCTTTGATATACTAAATATCTGTATATATATATATATATATATATATACATGACAAGTAGCAGACAAGAAAGCAGTAGTGTATTTAAACTCGTGCTGCTTTTCAATGACAAGTTCCATAGCTAAATATCACGCGCTTTTTCGTGAGAAAGTTGGAATAATACATCATGTCACTAACTTTAATTTGTGTATATTCAAGGAACATGATTACAAGTAATCAGACATTCAAAGAGGCGTAATAATATTGTTACGAAAGTTGTCATGTATATATCCATCTCTTGGGCTTTATGTTTATTTGTTTTGTTTTAAACTACTTTTCTTGAAGAGAGTTAATAGATTACAAAACTTCATGCCGTGACAGTTTCTTATGTAACCGAAATCCGAAAGGTTTAAGATAAAAGGTAAAAACAGATGCATATGAATGTGTTGATTAACTATATTTTTCATGTGTTTATGTGTTGTGCCTGTACTTTTTATACATATATAATAAATTAGTGTTAGTGTTCGAAGTATTCTGTGTAACGAACTATTCTGTTGAATCATAATAAATGAATTTAAAACATGTTTAAACAAACAAAGAAGTATTGAATTATCTGTTGTTGTTTTTTAGAGATTTAACTTTAATCTTTTGTTCGGAGTGAAAATATTACAAAGCTATATATACACAGAAAATTGCTATAGAGATTGTATTAGTTCTCAAAATTCTAGAAAGGGAGTGGTATTTAGATCACGTTTGCCGTTATCTTTGCATGACGTTTTTTACGCCTAATACTGGGTTTATAAATTGGAATATTTTGTGTCTATTTCAGGTCCTAATGTATTGTACCGAGTGGCTAGGTAATGACATAGTTAGGATTGTCCGCCATGTTGGAAAGAGTCTCACCTCTACGTACACACCAGAATTACTTAGAAACCTATGTCTTCATATTAGCCTAGTTTTTGGTTTCGACATCACTCCTAAGCATTATAGTTTTGAGCTTGGGAAGTTAAGCATTTGGTTTCAGGACCTACTTAAACTCGTCGAAACCACCACCAGCGATCTCGTTATCGTTCTAGACAATCTACACGACCTTAGGTCTCCCCCTAACAATCAGGCAGCCATCTTGGGGTGGCTGCCATGGAATCTCCCAGCCAACGTACATATTATTTGTTCTGTGGCTGAAGAACATGAAACTGTTCTCGGTCTGCTTAAATCTCGCATGTCAACAGGAGACAACCTCATTCAGATTCCCCCACTCAATCACGTAGCTGCTGTTAGTATGATCCAATCAAATCTTAAAGACAATAAGCACTTGTTAACAACCAACCAATGGTATACATTAAAAGAAAGGCTCAATGGGCAGTCATTTTCACCCCTATATGTGAAACTTCTATCTCACGAAGCCAGACGCTGGACATCGTGGCAGGACATTTTGGACAACGACGTGCCTCAAACTTTACAAGAGCTAATCAACAGACTTCTACTGAGATTGGAGTCCCAGTATGGAACATCTACTGTAAGAAAAATAGCTTCCTACCTAACGTGTACGCACTACGGGCTCAGAGAACCAGAAATACTAGAGCTTCTAACAGCTGCCGAGTTCGAGGGACCGAGCGCTGTGCGAGGGGATGACAACGCGAGAGAATTTTCATTTATGGACTGGTTTGGCGTCAAACAAGAACTTGGTAAGTTTCCAACGTGCAAGTTGCCATTTAAAGAAACAAGCAATTATATTATTTATGAAATAAAGTAGACCACAAGTTGATGATATGGAAATTTCTGGGAGATTCTCACTAAAACTGTAATTTAATAAAGGCAGATTTAGAAATTTATATAAATGTTCGTCTCAAAACCTACAATTTTAGTTTGTTTAAGTACTAAAGGTTTGATGCGTAGTTCATATTATATTAAAATTGATATTAAATAAATTAAAAAATAAGCACGGTAAATTTATTCCATTAGTTTAAAACCAAATAGCATTCTGGTACAAAATCTGTTTGAGATAAGTAGAACTTTAGCTACTCTAAGAGACAAACTAGCATGTTAAAAAGTTTACGTTGTTTGCAGTTCAGACACAAGTGAGTGTTTAAAACGCCAATTTAAATCAAATGTGATTTATTAATTTCGTTTTTCTATATATGGATTACCTTCTTCTGGATATGTTATAAGTCACTGGCTGCTTAAATAGATTTCGTATGCTGCTTTACTTGTAGACAATTATATAATGGGGACGAAGAATCAATGCCTTTTATCGTTTATCCTCTTGATCTTTTCCTTCATACTTAAAGACTGAATTTGTGTATACGATTGAATTTACTATATCAGTCAAAAAGCACGTACTAAATTCTATCTTTATATAAGAGTTTTGCCTTGTAAAACCTTATATTAGTAATACTTTAATTACCTAATTAATATATCCGTATAAATAGAAAGTATTGTAGACATTTTTGTAATTATTCCTAGTGAAACACGTATATAATTGTCTTCATTAAACATTGTATGAAATGTTGTACTTATATAACTGTCTTCATTAAACATTGTGTGAAACGTTGTATTTATATAATCGTCTTCATTAAACATTGTATGAAACGTTTTACTTATAAAATTATCTTCATTAAACATTGTATGAAACGTTTTACTTATAAAATTGTCTACATTAAACATTGTATGAAACGTTGTATAACGTACTTCACAGCTTAACCTTCCTATACTTCATATTTACTATATTTCTATGTATTCAAAGTTTGTTTGAACACATGAACACTTTTAATCTGCATGTTAAAAACTTTTTTACGATTCAGAGAGCAATTTAGACGACTTAAAACATCCGTCCAGTCTATTTTCCGTTGTTGTCTATTGTCTCAGTTTCTCTACAGGCCACAAGAATTATGTTTCTTCACTTTTAAGAAAAACTATACAAAATATGCGCTGGAATTAAGCTAAAAACGGAGAATAGGTGAGGAGCGACACCCATCTTCATGTTGAAGTTGGATTGCAGCCCTGTACTCTACCAAGTACTCCACTCTTTTACCCTTAGGTCTCTCGCTGAGAGCAATGATTTGTGATCTAGGTCACTCATGTCGGCCAGTCTATACCATCTGGCTTAAGGGGTACAAGAAATGCAGGATAAACTGCAGATCTTATGAGCTAGGATGCACCAAAGTCCCACGAGGGCTACAGTCCTCCCCAAATGTCATCTGCCAACATTAAACTGAAGTGTCTATGCTGTTTCAGAAGGAGATGCATCTGGTTGGTGCATCCTACCAATCATCATTGCTTCCATGAGGCTTAGATTGACTTTTGAATGAGCTCAAACTGGATTTTAAAAATCAAGGAATTAAGTGGCAAGTGATGTTGCTATAAGATGGTTTGGCATTTGAAAAAATTTTCAAGACACCAGCTAAAATTGTTTCGCACTTGCAGATGCAAGGCAACATCTAACTGGTATTACATGGATACCTTGTGTTCATATCAATACATATGCCACAGATAATGGTTGAATACAGTTGTTTACATTAAATCAGACAGCTTCATCTGCCCAGAAACTTCATGCTGGATAGCTATTCTAACTTGTACTCAGCAGATAATAATAGTGAGGTGAATCCTATCAGTGCACTAACTTAAAAATGTATTGCGAAAGAGAAACAAGACTGAAATATTTTAGATAAGTTGCTGCATGGAATACTTGGATGCAGGAGCAAACAATACAACGTCTTCAGTTGACCCTGGTAGCCTTGGATGCTATACATTATCTGAGTGAAGCCTAGTTGTGTAACTGAACTTAACCATGGAACAGTTTATCACAGGTTTTAACCCTGCCATGAAGTGAGAAATCTGCATGGCAGAATTCAAGGCCAAAAATCTAGCAGCCAAAACCAATGATTTGCATCATTTCTGCTAATATAGCTGGAATTGATTGCAAGGACTCCCTCATCACCAGCTATGTAGAAGGCTTTTCAAAAAGGCATATTTGGTATTACTTAAGTGCCAAGTACATTTTGAATTTAACAGAAGCTGTATGAATAGCAATAAAACTTAAAGTTATCATTTCAAACAAAATCCAAAAACATAAAAAGTCAGTAGTAGCTGCTGTGGCACTTTCCTCACGCGGCTCTTTTACATCAGAACCATCAGAAAAATATGTATTAGCCAGCTGTAAATTATCAGTAAAATGATTTGTTTGTTGGTTTTTTTTATTTTGCACAAAACTACTCGAGGGCTATCTGTACTAGCCGTCCCTAATTTCGAAGCGATATACTTGAGGGAAAGCAGCTAGACAACAACACCCACTGCCAACTCGTGGGCTACTCTTTAACAGAGATTAGTGGGATTTACCATCACAATTCAATGCCTCCAAGGGCTAAAGGGGGATGACAGTTGTGATGAAACAGCTATTACGTCAGTCATCTTAAGGGAAACAAATTGTTACGTTTTCTTCAACTGTAGATGGCCAGAACACTGAAGATTAAGACTCTTCTTCACCCAAGGTCGAGTACAGAACGGGGTATGGAGCAGCATTTAACTCACTCCAGTGTCAAACAACAGTGTGTTGTGAGAGCTGTAAGATTAGCTACTTTAAACTAGCTGGACGAGATCGTTCACTGATCTTGAGAAACATTGTGTCCAAAGTTCTAGCAGTTTTCTCAACTCAAATTAGCTCAAGCTCAGTCTTATGTGTTCCTGCAATTATTTATGGATGCAAGTTTGAATTTGTAGTCAATACTGGAGCAGCTAGAACTTTACTCAACATTGCAGTGTTTCAGGGGCGAACAGCAAAGCCACCACTCAGGCCAGTCAATAAAAACTTTGTTCTGGTTGAATGAAAAAGCTACAGATGAATGGAGACGTATGAATCTGGCTCATGGTTAGCAATAATATCTCTCATAGGACAAACGTATTAGTAGTAACTGACTTGGGTTTATGTATAGGCACCTTATAGACGGTTCTGCTGTGCAAGTTATTCAAAGAATAGCCTGTGGAAAATGTAAGTTGCAGCTCTGCGGTAAAATCTTTAGATGCTAACGAAGTAAATCCTTGGAATAGTGGAATGCGCAAGTGTATTTAGTGGATGCAGTAACTATTCCATTAAATGTAAGGGTAATATTTTGTGGTAAGTTGCATATGGAGTGTCATCTATTGCTGCCTCCAAATGCAGCGATGAAGCTTACATATGAAACACACTGGTTTTTGTTCAAACACCAAGCTACACAGTAATGCCTTCAATACCATGATATATATCCCAATTATTGTGTGTAATTATGGACATACAGCTATTAAAATTACCGAGTTGTAAGAGTTTTGGGAATGTTGCGTGAATGAGAGGCAAATGCGTCTATTAGAATAGCTTGGGTTTACCATGCCCTCAAACAAATACGTGACTTTAGACGCACATGATGCCGATGTTAGAATATTGTAACAACACTCAGGATTTACATCAGCTGACGGTAATTAGTAAGCTATAGGCTGAGTAAGCTGATTGTGCCTGTATGATCTGATAGTTGCTTAGGTCAAACAAACATAAAGCCTTATCATATAAGCATTGATGATGAATGTTCTATCAAGCAACCACTACGCAGGCTTCCCTAGAATGTAGCCAGTTCTGGGAAGAATTGCATGCTAAAGAATGGTTTTATGAAATCATAAGAATATACACGGTCATTACCTGTGGTGACAATTAAAAAGAAGGAAGACACATCAAGTTTCTGTGCTGTAGATGGCAACATGCATCAACTAATTTCAAATCCATCAGACAGGTGAATGTCTAGATGCATTAAAGAGTTTCCATTGGTTCAGAACTTTAAACTTTGTTTTTGTTATTGGCATATATAACTTGAGCATTAACAAATGTCTGTGTGAATTATAAAGGATATCATTTGTCCTGTATAATGCACTAAATATATGCTTAAGCACTGATAGAGTTTGCATTAAGAGGTTTACAGTGAGAAAGATATTTAATATATATAAATGATATATTGACGTTTGGCTATACATTTAATGCTCCTATTGAAAATCTAAAATAGGATAGGACAAATAGGACTGAAACTTAAACCAGGAATGTATGTATTCGTGCATAAACAGATACAATTTTTTGCCAATACAATTTGCAAAAAGGCATCTCTGCTGATCCTGCTAAATTCTAAAGTAGTGACAGTCTAGCCTCAACCTACGCCTGTTAGAAGATTTCAGTTTTCTCAAACTTGCCTCATGTTATCAATATTTTGTGGCCAAGTTTTCTGATACAGCAGCGCTGCTTTCTATGCTCACTAAAGCTAATTCAAATTCCAGTCACTAAAACATGTTTTAACTTATGTACTAGTGTTAGCTTATCCTGAGCCAAATTGTTAATTTATATTAGATACTGACACCAATTTTAATGGGACTGGATCAGTGTTTTTACAAGTACAAAATAATATAGTGCATAATCGCGTGCACGGCGGTACAGACTGCTCCTGAATACCATTAATACACAACATAGAATTGCTTGCAGTTGTATTGTTTGTTTAGCCCTAGAAACACAATCTATATAGAAGAAAGATCATATTTAGAGTGAAACATTAATTACCTCATAATTAACTAGTTTTTTAATAGAACTAGAGATACTTCTGGTCGTATTCATGATGTAAAAAGTTAGGATATTATGGGTGGCAATGTGTAATGTGGTCAGTTGTCAAGTGATTAACACAGA